TGTGCCGATCACACGGTGACTAAGATTTTGATTATTGAAAGATTTAAAAATAATTGAATTGGATTCTCTTGCAAATAATTAATTGAAAGATTTGATTCTTTGGCCTTAACATAAAAAATAATTTATTTTCTGTTCATTCAGATTCTTAAGATTAGTCCACATCTTGTTTTGAATATTTAATCGTAATTATAATTTTATCCACCATAATTTTATTTTCAAAGAGTAAAAAGTTCGATCTGACATTCCACTTTTAGATCTTTATCTATATCTATCTATATTATTATAAAAACTTGAATAAAATATTAGATTACAAAAATAACCTTAAAATATTGAACAATTTAATGCTAGAATTCTTTTGCATCTGGTTCGTGAGACTAATATTTAGGAGGAAATTACAAAAAAATACGATCAAGACAAAAGTAATGTTTATCTAGCACATTAAATTTTTTAAGGATAAATTTAATTCGCATAGGATTATATAGTGATATCTTATTACTTTACTTTATATAAGTGGCTCACTTTTGAAAAACAAAATGAATTCTTATAAATTTGTGATCTTTGGTTCTAGAGTTGCTGGAGAAGTACTCCTACTCCCCTCAACAAAGAAGGGTTTTGGCATTAAATTAGTAAAGTATTCACTATTTTCTCATAATTTATTGACTTCATAGTTAATTACAATTTTATCCTAAATAAAGTTATTAAATTGCTCAATATTTTAAGGTTATTTTTGTAATCCAATATTTTAATCATGCTTTTATAATAACTAGTTTTTATGAACGTGCGTTGCACGATAACAATGGCACGTTGATGTTTGATCGCTAAAAATTTTGACTTTCCGGTTGCAGGACCTCTAAATACATATGCGATTATGTTTTACCACTTAATATTCGTGGATGTCGTTTAAAAAAAATGAGTAGCATGAATGTATTATTTGTTCGTAGAAGTAGTTACTAAAAAAAAGTAAAAGAAGCTTTGTCCTACAAAATAGAAGAAAAACAAAATTAACTCGTTAGGGGCAAACTTGTCTATTTTTAGTCAATTAATAATTTTGTTATCCAAATATGATAGAAGGGAGGTAAACGTAATATCGTGAACCACAAGGAATGTTAGTATTATGAAGTCAAATTTGAAGAGAGGTCTTTGAAATTATCTCTATTTAATATTGTTTATGATGCAAGTTGTATATCGATTGGCAAGTACAAAATAGATATGTATTAGAATAGGATTTATGAGATCTTTGGACAACTTGCTTTCAACTTTTATATTTTAAGATAAATTCTTGAGAAGAGTAAAATCCTTAATTCTAGATGATTTTATTATACAAGTATTTTAAGAAAGACATAATGTATGATAATATAATTTTGTACCAAAAAAGAGAATTAGATAACCGATACCTTCCTAAGTCCCAATTTGCATAACTGTGCTAAAAAGATATTCCGATTGGGTCTGTTGAAGTGAAGCGTAAGATCAACCAAAACAAAGAAGATATCGGTTTTTTTAAAACAATTACCATTAAAGAAAGAACAACAATAGCAATATACTGCATGCTGATATACTTGATGAATTCTCCATTAGATGTATTAAGTTAATTTTTAAGAGAAAATTCATGTAATTAAAAAAATAAATTATCTCTGGAAAGACTTATGTCCTTCGAGTGTAACAACAGATGATGAAGCGCATTATTAAATAATGTCATCATATAAGGAAGGATAAATAGTACACTGGAATAAGAAGCCAAACTGACGTAGTCTATTTTCCATTGAGATTGTTACCACTTACAGTTCCTTTTATTTTTAATCTCGAGAAGGAACTCATGTTGTGAAATTATTAAAAAAAAATCTTAACCAAATTTAACATTCAAAGCTGTTGAAGTAAATTACTCACTCCGCCAAAGCTAACATGCTACTACATGCATCTTATGTAACAAACAATGAAACAAAACTAATAAATTACCTCTGGAAGATTGATATTCCAAAACAATAAATACTACCTAATTTGTTTGAGGTAGACATATATAAATTATACAAAGTGTCCTTCTCCATGTCGATAAGTGTTTAAAAGTGCTTGTGTCCATGTCGGGTTAGTACGGAATTTCCACATTATAAGTAGACACATATGGTAAATAGATGAAAAGTTGGAACGTGATTCGTATTAGAAGTTTGTTCGAATTCATAATTATTTCTAACTTTACCACTTTTTAGTTGAATTAGAAGTTCTCGATATTGGTAGAGTAGGAATTTTTACGCAACGTATGTGGAGTTCAAATTGAAAAAGAATTCCATCATTAGATAATTTACAATTAGATCCTTAAATTATACAAATATTTAAGGGTATAAAAGTCTATCAAAGTTTCGGGAATATTTTAGTCGTTCAACATTTAGCATAAATTATTCGTGCTTTTATAATAATATAGATAGATAGATAGATAGATAGATATAGATAGATACAGATATTTAGTACTTTTGTACTTTTCATATAAAAGAAAAGAAAACCTTTTAGATATGTAAATAAAATAAAGACTTGACTTACCTAAAAATAGGTAAATGAATAGTTTTCAATTGAAAAAATACATCGACAACCCTTTAAAGTTGTCAACGCATGTCACTTAAACACTTTATTTGAAGTTTGTTCCATTTGAACACTTTAACCGTACATTAACTGTGTCATTTAGACACAATTTGATAATGTGTCATAGTTGTATATTATACCTTTTTTCAGAGTGTGAGAGATTTACTTATTTTTTAAAAAAAATTCTCTTTCTTTTTCCTCCTATTCTTTCACACATCATGGTGTGCTTTAGTTTTCATTGCCGGAAAAATTTCACACATTTATTCTTCTTCGTCTCTCTCCTTTTTTCTCAATTTAAATTCTTTCTTCTCCAAGTATCTTTTCTCAAGTTGTAGACGCTAACATTATGAACCTCATGATATGCCAAATTAAACATGATCACAGGTCACTCAAATAGGAGATTCTAGCTCATCTAAAGCAGTTAGTTAGTTATGCCAAGTCAGCTGAAAGTTAGTTAGGAAGTTACTTGAAGGAAGTTAGTTAGAACAATTAGTTGGAGATAGGAAGTTTCTGGAAAGATGAGTCATGTATTCATTCATAAAAAGGCTACAATGTATCATTTTACATTCATCAAATATAATACAATTACAATCTCTCTCTCAATCTTCTTTCCGTCAATTAAAATTTCTACATTTCATAAGCTTTGATCTTCGAGTTTTTCCGTCAAACTCCTAGCTCAGCTTCTCAATTCTCGAGTTCTCTGTGAATTCCTGCGAATGAGATATCACCTTAGCGTGTCCATTTGCCACGATTTCGAACAACTTTATAATCTCTCAACATATCCAAACCCCTCCCCACAACCCAAATTAATTCCTGAAGAGGGGTAATTCTTTGACCTCTCTTGTAGATGGATTACATAAGAAGAGATATCACTCTTCAGAATCAAAAGAGATACAAAACAATCCATTTCAAGAATCCCAAATTCGATACCTTTTAAATGGATTCTCACAAGTTAATGGTGAAGAGCAAGTACGTCTCAACGCGTGACCTAAAGTCAAATTTTAATAAGCGACTTTTTTTTATTTGTCTATAATGTAATTATCTTACAAAATATAGTACTAATATTTACATTGATTTCTTTTTTCTTTCTTTTTGTCTACAGTGTAGTTATCTTATAAAATATAATACTAATATTTATATTGGTAAAAAATTCAAGTTAATAAGATATTAACCATATGCCCTACATTAGATCTTATTGTAAAAAATATTATTTTTCAATATGAAGATTTGAGTAGCGTAATTCAAAGTTCTAAAATATGTCTTTCTTTCTACTTTTATTAGTATTTTGTACTTTTATTCTTTTTTTTATAAACTTTAATATTGTATAAGCGAACATAAGATAGAAAATTTACAATTAAAAGTATTTTTAGGACCCGACATTTAGGAGGCCTAAAGCAAAGGACATAACGTAGAATGTAATTTCTTGGTTGAAAATTTGAGATGGGTTTTTGCAAATTGAGGACTCGAGATGAGGGAACACCATGATTCAGAAATACACTTCATACTCATCAATGCTTTTACATGTGAGTATTTCTGATATCATATCTTGGTGAAGAATTGAATCACCCGCCATTAATTCAAATACATATATTGGGTATAATCAACACATCCTTTAACATATATTCTTATTGATATCCACTACTATATATATATATATTTTTTTTTACATTGTAGGATTTAGTATTTTTAACTTATTTAACATATATTTTTTATCTATATTTATTTCAATTCAAATACATATAGCATTGTTATAGCATTTGAAAACCTCTGAGGGAATAATTTTGAAAGTAAAGTCAAGGAAATCATAAATGGCTAGAAATATGAATCGATGCATTTCACAAATCTGAGTGCATTAACATTATGATTTTATACCAGTTACTAATAATATTAGTAGGTGCCTCTATGATGTTGAAATGAACGTGTATGTGTGTGCGCGCGCGCGTACCTGCACTTCGAATTTAGCTCAAGTAGTTAGTTATTTATCTTTTAATTGGGGGGGTCAACTTTGAAGCCTAATTTCCTAGTCATTTCCTCCGTTGTTTGCATTACTCAACAAGTCCAGATTTCTACTCAATTCGTCAGTCTTCAGTTCTGTATTTCACTGTCAATGATCTCTAATCCAGAAAATTATCAAAATTACAAAACCAAGTCAAGGATTCAAGAATTGAAATAATGCATAAAATAACAAAATACTGGTCCTACTCTGAGTCTCCTCCGTATTTCTAGACTAGAAAATCCACACCCTCTTCGTCAGTTAAGAGTTTAAAATATCCTATTTTATCTGAGTCTCTAAAATATTTCTTTTCCTATGATTTAATTTTACACAAGTATAGTACTTATCTTTGATCAGGTACAATGTCACTTAGGATAACGCCTTACCTTTCCAATTTGAAGCAACTGCATTATAGTAATACATTTTAAAAAGGAAAGAATCAACTGTAAGGTATCTTCACATTAGATTATTGAAAGCAAGCATGGACTTTTACCAAGTCAACTAACACAACCACCCGCCTAAATAACGAAGACAGAAGATTGATAATTTGTGATATTATATGGAGTAGATTGAAACGTCGCGACCTACCAATTCAGGTATTGGAAGGAGATGAAACTGATCCTACTATTCTGTGCCTCACTCTGGTTGTGTTCCACTTTCAGCAATTCACAAAGGAGCTTCCATAATCGCACTTCTAACTTCCAAGTGGGAGTGATTCTTGATTTGAAGTCAGTGGTCGGAAGCATGGGTCTAAGCTGCATGTCCATTGCCCTCTCTGATTTCTATTCGATTCACAGCAACTACTCGACGAGGTTGTCTCTTCACGTTAGGGACTCTCAAGAACAAGCCATTGAAGCTGCTGCTGCTGGTAAACATTATTGCATATTAAGCACCTATGTCGGATTGCTAACTGACATGGGAAAGAGAAGCTCTTGCCAATTTAAAGAGAACTTACCAACATTGTTTGCCTTGTTGCAGGTCTGAATTTGCTGAAAGATGTCAAGGTAGATGCAATCTTAGGTCCTCAGAAATCAGCTCAAGCCAACTTTTTGATGGATCTAGGAGATAGAGCTCAGGTCCCCATAATTTCTTTTTCTGCAACAAGTCCTTCTCTTCATACTCGAACTCCTTACTTTGTTCAAGCTGCACAAGGTGATGACACTCAAGTTGGCGCGATTGCTGCCATAGTTAAAGCCTTCCAGTGGAGCCGGGTTGTTATGATATTTGAAGACTCAGAATATGGCAGTGGCATTGTCCCGTACTTATCTAATGCATTCCAAGATGTAAATGCTCACATTTCATATAAAAGTGTTTTTCCTGTTTCGGCAAGTGATGAATTTATACTCAAAGAGCTATACAAGATGATGACTTTACAAACAAGGGTCTTTGTGGTCCACATGTCACATACACTTGGCGCCAGACTCTTTCTGAAAGCCAAGGACATCGGAATGATGGAGAAGGGCTATGCCTGGATCATCACCAGTGGACTAGTGGATTTAGCCTACTTGATGGATTCTGATGTTGCTGAAGCAATGCAAGGGGTATTAGGTGTGAAACCTCTTATACCAAAATCTGAACAGCTCCGGTCTTTCTCTAGTAGGTTGAAGAAAAAGTCCCTTGAGAAAAGTCCTGGCATCGGACGAGCAGATTTGAGCATTTTTGGCCTGTGGGCATACGATACTTTGTGGGCACTGGCTATGGCAGCAGAAAGAGTTGGACTGAAAGAGCCACCGAAAACTTTAGAAAATTCAACTGTTAATCTCAATGTTTCAGACCTTTTCAATTTTGGGAACTCAGAAGTCGGCCCAAAACTTCTAAAAGCAATATCAGAGACCAAATTTGAGGGGCTTTCAGGGAAGTTCCGCCTTATAGATGGCAAGATGGGGTCATCATCCTATCAGATAATTAATATGGTCGGGAACGGACAGAAAGAGGTAGGAATATGGAATCCATCTCTTGGAATAAGGAGGGAACTGAACTGGAACACCACAACTCATGATACAAGCTCAAGGGAAAATATGAGGAGTATCATATGGCCTGGTGATTCAACAGTCGTGCCCAAGGGATGGGAAGTTCCAATGTCTGGTAAAAAGCTAAGAATTGGAGTGCCAGTGAAAGCTGGTTTCACGGATTTTGTGAGAGTAGCAAAGGACACTCAGGTCAATGCCCGCATTATCAGCGGATTCTACATAGACGTGTTCAAATCTGTCATGGAAGCGTTGCCATATTCTGTGCCATATGAGCTTCTTCCCTTCGAAAATCCTGATGGCTCTAGTGCAGGGACTTATAATGATCTTATTTACCAAGTGTTTCTTCAGGTAAGATAGGTAGACTATATTTTCCGTCCTCTCCTGCAAAAAAAAGTAAGTGAACAATTACTAACTTCAGTCAGCAATGATACAATGTATGCAGAACTATGATGCTGCAATTGGAGATATAACTATCACAGCGAACAGATCAAAATACGTGGACTTCACGTTGCCATTTGCAGAAGGAGGAGTTATTAGCATCGTGCCAATAACGTACGAAGACGCCAATGATATATGGGCTTTCCTAAAGCCCCTAAAGAAAGAACTTTGGCTAACAAGTATAGCATTTTTCTTTCTTACGGGTCTGGCAGTCTGGATACTTGAACATAGGGTGAGCTCTGCCTTTCGAGGTCCTCCTTCTCAACATGTTGGCATGATCTTCTACTTTCCCTTCTCAACGCTAGTATTTGCACACCGTGAGTACTAAATAAATCTCTCAGATTTAATTTTAAACATTTTCCTATGATAGGGTACAGGACAACTCGTGAACTCACAAATATGTATGATCTATTTGTAGGAGAAAGAATAGTGAACAATTTAGCTCGACTGGTTGTAGTGGTATGGATGTTCGTCATACTCATTCTGAACTCCACTTACACTGCAAGCTTATCATCAAGATTTACCGTACAAAGACTACAACCAGCAATCACAGATGTTAGCGAGCTAATCAAGAATAGAGATTTTGTTGGGTGCCAAGAAGGCTCATTCATAGTGGACTTCTTGAGAAAAAAGGGATTTGACGATTCCAGGATCAGGACATACACTTCCCCATATGACTGTGATGAAGCCTTGTCTAGAGGAAGTAAAAGTGGTGGCATATCAGCATTCTACGATGTCATTCCCTACTCCAAGCTCTTCCTATCCAAACATTGCGACAAATACATGACAGTTGGACCTACCTATCGCACAGACGGCTTTGCCTTTGTAAGACATTTCATCTCCATCCACGCTGTTCTTGTTTGTGAAGATTATTTTGTGTTGCAAATGACTATCTCATGCTACTGCATTTAAAATCAAACAGGTTTTCCCTAAAGGATCTCCTTTAGTTGCTGATGTGTCTCGAGCAGTCATAGAATTAACAGAGAATGGGAAGATAATGGAAATGGAGCAACATTGGTTGAGAAATGAACAAACCTGCGCAGGACCAGATGACAATATGAACTCAATCACGATTTCGTTGCAAAGTTTCAAAGGCCTTTTTGCCATCACAGGAGGAGTTACAGCAGTAAGCCTCCTCATTTTTATAGCCAGCTACTTGTACAAGTACAGAGATTTCCACAGAAGAGTATCAAATTCTAGAATCACAATTTGGTCAAAAGTTGTAGCAATTTGCAGACACTTTGATCAGAGAGACCTCTCATCTGGACAACCCCAAGATAAACTTCCAGAATCTGGAATTAGTCCAAATACTTCTTCAGAAAATTCTGTTCAACCACCAAATTTACCAAGAAATCATTCTAACTCCAATGAAATAGTATCCTCTGCACCAGAAGAGCTGCATGATGCCACTACTGCGACAATCCATTCTTCGAATTTGGAAGACATGTCTGCTGTAAAACACTCAGGAGTAATTCTTCCATCTGCATAACTGAGTTGACTGTAAAGTTGTACTGTATATACTCTCAGCTAATTGTGCAATTCTTTGATTTCTTACTTGTTAACATTTTACTTGCCTCATCTTTTTCCACATATTGTAAGTTCTGATTATAAGGGATAGATGCATTAGATAAGAATCAAACCAACTAAAATGGCTGCATTTTTCCATACGCTTCATAGGCCCTAACTGCAAGGACTAGTGCGACCAACTTATGTATTATTCCTGAAAGTTGCTAGACCTCTAGGATTTGTAGCTCAGTATCACTCTTTCATGACTTAACTAACTTTTGTACTTGTTAAATAGAGGTGGCATATAGGCATTAACTTGGGCGGGTCGAATTAATAAGGGGTCATGACTCAATCTGCCCAGAGTTTGCCGAGTTCAAAATGGGTTGGGTCAAGATGAGTCAAATTCAACCTGCTCAACAAGATCCAAACACCCCACCTTTTTTATTTTCTTTTTCAAAAAAAAAAAAGTGAAAGTTAATGTATGTTTCTTAAATTATTAGCATAAATTCTTTCAATTTAAATAACTTTCAATCTCCGTATTTAATTTTGCATATTTGGATTTCGGTTGCAATTTGACCCGTAGGGTTACTCTGTTGGACATGTTTCGACCCAATAGTTTAAACTTGAGCAATTTAGGATTTGTCTGTCACAACTTCCTGTCTTAAGCAGTTGTTTTACCCTTCTTTTTTTTTCTTTTAACCCCATTGTCAAGACTTCATTCCTCAACGTAAACACATCAAGGGGATATATAAAAGTTAACGTCGATAAACTCTTGCTGAAGTCAAATGTCATGCACAAAAATGCACCACTTGGGAAACACAAGTTAACGTCGATAAACTACTGCTGAGTCCTGCATCTTACCCCACACGGTAGGACTGCAAACTCGTTTTTGAATAATGAACTTGGAAAATACTAGTTAGTTGATAGTGTTAACTAGCTCCAGATTAGCCCTTGACATTTTCACCTTGTTGTATATGTTTTCCAACTTTGACAACATGAACCTTGGATGACCATGAAATCCGGTCTATCTTAGTTTTTCCCACTTCTAACCGAAAGATTGGTTCACAATTCAATGGTAAGACGATTTGCCCAGAAAAGAGAAGCAGTCATATATAGAAGCCTATAGATAAAGGTAAGCAAATTTTGTAAATAGGGATATGGCTTTAACATAGTAGATCCTGCTAAGAATTGCAAAAGGAATTGCTTTTTGCATGAGAATAAGATTAGCTAAGATGAACAGTCACAGCAGTAAGTTATATTTAGTTTTCATCCATGTATACATGATGGAAAAAACATTTACAGCTACAAGGCAAACGCCTTCTCTTCCCAAGCTGCAGTAGTGTAAATAGATTTCTACCATCCTCTAGCAATAAAAAGAGACTGAACCTAACAAGGATTCAGAAATCAAATATAAAATTAGGACTGCGTTAATCAGAAGTCTATTGTACCTAGAACACATCAGAGTTTACATGGAATGGCCTCTGATTGATAGCTAGTACTTGCTTCTTATACTCGAACTGGACCTTGTTAATTGCTTGACCACTTCTCTCATTGTGGGTCTTTTTCTAACTTCCTTCTCTGTACATCTAAGAGCCAGTGAAAGCACTTCAATTACTTGTTCCATGATATTTGAATCTATGAATTCATCCAAAATGCTTGGATCCACAATCTTCTCAATTTCTTCAGCTTCTGCCCAAACAGACCTAACCCAACTCACAATATCTGTACCCCCATAAACTGAAGGATCCAAGGCCTTCTTTCGAGTTATAAGTTCCAACAGAACAACACCATAACTATAAACATCTGACTCCTTGCTCTTTGCAGCTGCAAATGCAGTCTCTGTCGACAAAACAGACCAGACATAGATATATTATTTTCTACAGACAACGAGGTTTCTAAAGGGAGGACAAACTGAAAGGCTGTGTGAGAAAAAATGAATATTACGAAAATACCTGGAGCCATGTATCCAACTGTACCCTGGAGGGTATTGGAGGGGGAAATTGCAGCAGAATGATCCAGAAGCTTCGCAATGCCAAAATCTGATATGTGGGGCTCCAGATCAGAGTCCAACAAGATATTCATGGGCTTGATATCTCGATGCACGATGGCAGGATCACAGTCAAAGTGGAGATATGACAACCCTTGAGCAGTTCCAAGAGCAATACGGTACCGTACGCTCCATTCTAATGTTACAAGTGGATTAGTCTCATGAAGAATATCATGAAGGCTCCCGTTCTCCATGTAATTGTAAAGAATCAGTCCATAATCCTTTCTCAGCCAGAAGTCTTCTAATTTGACAAGATTACGGTGCCTAACCTTTCCAATTGTCTGAATTTCTCTTACCATACTTGTGCTTCCATCCTTTATACCAACAAACACCAGCTTTTTCACAGCATATGCTTTCCCTGGACCCAAGATGGCCTTATATACAATTCCATGTGCTCCCCTCCCAATGACATACTTATCATTTAGGTTCTGTGTAGCTTCCAATACTTTGTTAAGCAGGGATGAAGCACCTTCTTGAGCAGATATTGCAACTTCTTTCCCAGAATTTTTGCGCCATAGAAGCATGTAAGCAATTACTAGGAATAAGGAAATGGTAAACAATAGTACCCCAACTGCAATCAGTGCCGTTTCTGCTCCACTTAGGCGTCTTCCATTGTTTGATTGAAGATTACAAGGCCGTAGGGTGCTATGCTCAGGGCAATTTGAGCCTTCTTCTGGATCACAGTGCACGCAAAGTCCCAAGTTTCCCGAGAAAGAGGTAGGAGTTGAGTTTAGGAACTTCATCAGATTTGCTGGCACTGGACCGGAAAAGAGGTTGTGTGATACATTGACGAAGATCAACGAACGCATTCCATCAAGAACTCTTAAAGTTCCAGAAAGATTATTGCCAGCTATATCTAACTCCTCCAGGAAAGTAAATTTTCCTAGCTCGGCAGGAAGTTCACCTGTCAACCTGTTACTACTCAGATTTAACCACCTCAGTGTTTCTCTTGATGCAGTCGCAATTGCTGCAGGAATGCCCCCACCAAGTGCATTTCCACCAAGCTGCAACATAGAGAGCTTCTTGAGTTCAAATAAGGAGGTTGGAATATCTCCTGAAAGATGATTCTCATTCAGACCCAAAATGGATAGTTCTCTAAAGCTTCCAAACGTGGACGGGATCGAGCCACTCAACAAATTGTGACTTACGTCAAGCTTCAACAGTCTCTGGCAGTTTGAAAGTTGAGGTGGCAGTACACCTTCCAAACCATTGTAAGACAGATCCAAAGCCTGGAGGTTGACAAGGTTTGCCAGCTCCGGCGGTATAAACCCTGAGAGCTTATTCATTGATAAGTCAATTGATGTAACATTCCCAAGATTTGCCAAACTTGGGGGTATTTTCCCACTGAACCCATTCTCACTGAGATCCAAGAAAATAGGATTTGTGTTCTTAACAAAATCTGGAATGGCACCTGAGAGATTATTCTTTTTGAGAATTACTCTGGTTAAAGTAGAACACTTTCCTAATTGAGAAGGAATGCCACCTTCAAGATGATTATAACCTAACATAAGCTTATTCAGTTGCTTGCCAAAACAAAGATTTGGTGGAACAGGACCTGAAAAGTTGTTGTTGGTGAAATCCAGCAGTGTTAGACTGCCGTTAATCCCCAAACCTTGAGGTATAACTCCAGTAAACTGGTTTTCAAATAAGGATATGTTCCTCAACTGTTCCAACTCGGTAATTTCAAGAGGTAACTCCCCGGTCAGGTTGTTTCTGTAGACAAGAAGATTTTGAAGGCTTTGAATCTTCCAAATTCTGAAGGGAATTTCACCACTCAAATTGTTGGAATACAAAAAGAGATTCTGCAACTGACTGAGAGACCCTAGTTCACTAGGAATTTCACCTTCCAGTTGGTTTTCCGGTAAAAGTAATTCCAGCAAGGCTTGACACTCGCCCAGCTCGGGCGGTATTTTTCCAGAGAAATTGTTGTCAGCAAGGTAAAGCTTCTCCAACTTTGTGAGCTGGCCCAGAGAAGCAGGAATAGGGCCACTTAAACCAGAAGACGTAGCAGCAAGAACTGTTAGGTTACTACAATTACCCAAACCTTGTGGGAGTCCTCCATTAAAATGGTTGTATGACAAGATCAGATTGTCAAGATATTTGCAGTTACCCGAACCGAAAGGTATACTACCTTCTAGTCTATTATTGCTTACATCCAAATAAACAAGGTGTGCTAGCTTATCTAAGTTCTCAGGCAAGCTACCTACTAACCGGTTATCATTCAAATACAACTCTTCCAAGTTAGTACAGTTTACTATAGAGGAAGGAATAGGACCTGATAACTCATTATCATTAAGCCAGAGAGACAAAATCTGAGTCATGTTACCAACGCTAGATGGAATGGGACCACTTAACTTGTTACTATTAAAGAAGATGGTCTCCAAGTGTGGGATAGTAAAAAAGGAATCAGGAATGTTACCAGTCAATGAATTTGAGAACAAGTTTATGTAGGTTAAACTCTGTAAATTTCCAAGATTCTGAGGGATTTGTCCAGTAAAGGCGTTGTAGGATAGATCCAAGTAATCAAGAAGAGTGCAATTGCCGAGCTGGGGAGGAACGGGGCCGGAGAATGCATTAACGCCCAAATCAATGGTACGCAAGTGCTCCAAATGACCAATTTCAGGTCCCAATTGGCCAGAGATTCCATAGCCAGAGAGGTTGAAAGATGTGATAAATTGTTTGCGATCACATTCAACACCAACCCAAGAACAAGGAGTGGAATCAGAAGCATTCCAAGAAGAGTTAATAGCTGAGGGTACAGTAGTCCAGTGGCTAAGAAGGGAAAGTAGAGCTGTGCCATCAGAGCTAAGAGCATAAACAGACACAGAGAAGCAGCAGCAGTAGAAAAAGATGAAATTTTTAAAAGCAGTATACATAATTTGAACAAGAAGAGTAAGAGAGTAACACTGCTGTTATGAATTTTGTAGAATAGAGTGTTGGTGTTCTAATAAGGTGTGAAAGGAAATGGGAACACGTTGAAAAACATAAAGGGATAAATATGAACTCAACAGGAGTGGAGTTTTAACTACCTTAATCAGGAGTGGAGGGAAGTTGAGGTCGAATTCTTTATTCAGTAAACCATACCTTAATAAAGAAATGGTCCACCACTTTCCAGAAATTTTCTGCCGGACATGGCCCACCATCTTCTTTTTCTGCCCGAATAGCACTATTCTTTCTTCGTGGACTCTTCATTGACCTTCTTTTACCTAAATTCCATGTCCGACGACGAAGACCTCCTACTGGCAGCTACCGTCACCCACAGACCCACTCAGTGTCCCGTTAGTTATGAGGCAACTAGAATGTGATTAATATTTTATACAATAATTAAGAAGGAAGGCACTTTTACAAAATTTAACTCAAAGTTATAATATAAAACAAAAAGATACACAACAATGTAGAGAGAAACAGAGAAGAGAATATATTTCTTCCATGTATTCAAGTGTGTACAATGTGATATCCAAACCCTCTATTATAGGATGGCATTGAGGTATACAAAGGGATATCATAAACATGGTATTAACTATTGAGATCATGGGGAAAGATTATGGGTAGGTTATGGAGGTGTGGGAGTTACAACTATAATTGTGAGAAGTAGTGGGAGTTATTTACATAATGGAGAAGAGTAGTGGGAGTAACTTCTTTAGGAGTTATAGACATCCACTACAAAATAATATTTCATAACACTCCCCCTTGGATGTCTATAGATAATGTGCCTCGTTAAAACCTTACTAAGAAAAAACCTTGTGGGAAAAAATCTTTGTGAAGGAAAAAGAGTACACATATCTTGTATTACGCATTATTTGCTGCCTCATTAAAAACCTCGCCAGAAAAATCCAGTGGGATAAAATCTTAGCTAAGGAAAAAAGAGTACAGCGCGTATTTGCCTCCCCCTGATGAAAACATCACTTTATTCTTCGGAGACGACGAATTCCAAGCTTGTATAATAACTTCTCTAATATTGAGATCTGCAATGTCTTGTGAAGAAGTTTGTCAAATTACCACTTGAACAAATTTGTTGAAGAACTTTTAAAAGTGAATGTGCTTTATTTTGTCTCCTTTGATAGTCCTTCTTTCAATTGATATAAGCAAATAACATTATCTTCAGTATTATTGGAATCTTCTCTTCAAAGTCAAGTCACACGTCTGTTGTGTGTTGAGCCCCTTGCTTTATCAGTTGCTTATCTTGGCATGACTTGAATAAGTATCAACAATTAACTGCCTTGTAAAATAATAATATGGCAGTACTCTCACATGCAAATAGAATGTTTGAAGAACGAACTTCAGGAAAATGCCTACATTTGCATAACCAACAAAATCTTGACAATATTTGTTAGAATAAACAAATCTATATCAAGGACTTCTTTTGCAATATAATCATAATAGTATTCCAGTATCTTTATATAGGAATTAAAGTATATCTCGCTAACATATTGTTATACTCGTGGTTCTAGCAAGATACATAGTGCATCAATAAATCATGTACGCCATGATTGCTCTAATTCACATAAGGATTTGCTGAAGCTTTATTTAATGAATTTCTTGGGAACCTTAATATGCTTTAGAACAGTTTAAATCCTTCAATGATTTTTATATACGCATATGAAATTTATCAGGTATTGCCAGACTAAAATCTGAAAGCAATTGTACCCACCACAAGGGAACATGTTTCCATATAATCAATATTAGGACATTTACGTAAATCTTGTGTCACCCACTGACTTTATACTTTCAGGTGTTGGGACTATCAGTCCAAAACTTCACGTTTTCCAAGTGAAGTCAATCTTAATTGCATATTTTTCATTGACCAATCATTTATCTGTCCAAATTCCATGACAGATTTGAGCTCAAGATCCTCGTCAACATTAAAAATATTGAGCGCTACATTATATCAACAATATCATCGATGATCATTTTACAGCAGTTCCATCATTACACAATAAAGACAAAACTTATCGAGATCTCATTATTTTCAGGTACCTAAGCCTCTCCCATGAGGTCTTTATAAAGTGTTATGTCATGGTGCTCTTATAGAGCACTTGCCTCCTTATTATGACCATCTTGAACATTTGCTCCTCTCCTTCTTCAAGGAATTTTATCTTTGGAACCGATTAGTCTATTACGCTTGATGTGTACCATAGACACTGTCTATCATGAACTTTATTCTATTTGGAGCATTAGCAGCTGAAATATGACATTTAGCTTTGGGTCAGCAAATGCGCCTGGCATAATTTTGCAAATGAATTATCACTTGAACTTCAAGTTCATATTTTCTTGTACGAGGATCTAAGTGTACTCATAATAATTCATTCCATGTATTACTTTTTTTTCAGCTGCTCATTTTCTCCCCCAAGTGTTGGGATCACCAACACATATCCCCAACCTTCTTTGGGGACCAATCTTTGTGCATTGTGGTGGGATAATTATATCATATCGTACATCCATATTTCTATATAGAAATTATTTGGTTCCTGACCCTGAACCAATTGTGATAGGGAGAATTGATCATAACTTGTTGGCTAGATGCGTACAAGTGATGTTGTATATTAAATAATATACCTCATACCAAATTTCGATTTGGGAGTTTTATTCTCATAACCAATGGTTTAGCTTAATTGGAGGCATACAATTTCTGCTAAACCAATTGATTTAAACCAGCATTATCAAAATAAATTATCATAATTTATATTCTGGAACTGTGCTCTAATAACTTGAGCAAGCAACCTTGCAAAAGCCAAACTGTAAATTGACAACAAACGCACATGTGACCATACATAAATGCATCTTTTAAAATCATATAATAGTAAACGGTCCACATGGCAGGTGACTGGGCCCACATATATATCACCTTTTATTCGTTCCAGATTTTAAGGGATTCAATCCCAACCTTGACTGGTATATCATGAGAATAAGCAGCACAAGAGAATTCTTGAAGAATCTTCTATTTCTTCAATATATACCAATGTGAATTCTCAATTAATTTTCGCATCACAATTGAACCGGGATGGCCAACCGGTCGTGCCAACTAATATTTGTTTCAGTAAATATTTAATTTAGGCAAAATACATAGTTTACCCATCAACCTTGCAGCGAAATCCCTGTTACACACTTCTCTTTCACGGGAAACCTTTTACACACTCAACCTTTCAAAAGTGCGTCTAAGACACACTACTTTTGACCAGATAGTACTTGCGTGTTTACACACAAAAAAAGCGCGTGAAACCCGTAAAAAATCCTATTTTTTGTCTCCCCTCCCACAGGAACCCCCTCCCCTCCCTCTAGTCTTCTTCCTCACCACCCTCCCCCTCATTTTCTTCCACCAAAAATAATTTTTAAAAGAAAATATCGATTTTAGATCTTAAATTGAGCGGATTTTGTTGGTTTATTGTCCAAATATTGTGAACATTATTTATTTGTGATAGATTTAAAAGCCTTAACATTAGTATTGAAGGTTTGGGGAAAAATCTAGAATCCACCATTGTTAGGGTATCGAAAAAAGCTTGAAAATTCAATTAGGTCTTGTTGATTATTGGGTTATTGAAACTCGATTATTTTGGCTAGTTGTTTAGATAGTGTAGTTGAATTTTGGTATTGTTGGAAACTTTCTCACAAACAACCATGGTGGTAGCAACAATGGTGCTTAAGATAGAAAATGGAAAAATGAAGAAGATGGATTTTAATTTTAATTTCTCATATTTTTTTTCCTTTTTAAAGTCAATGACACGTGTCGCGACCCTGTTAGGGCGTGAATTTCACGTTATCTAAAAATTGGTCAAGCACAAAAGTGGTGTGTCTTAGACACACTTTTGAAAGGTTGAGTGTGTAAAAGGTTTCCCGTGAAAGAGAGGTGTGTAATAGGGATTTCGCTGCAAGGTTGATGGGTAAACTATGTATTTTGCCTTTAATTTACTATGGCATGTGATTCCATCATCATGCTTATATATCTGTAGTATAAATAGAAGAAAAATCGGGTAACCTTTCATGTTTACCCATCATGATTATAGTAATATGAAGATATTCAATCTTCCTTTCATTTATAGTCTCAATATGCCAACCAATTTGGCTAATATATTTGAAACTCAAAAAGTTCCTTTTTGAGACTTACTACCAACAATGCCATGAATAATTTTATTTATTCGGGTAGTAACAAATTCGCTCTTTCGGAGCTCTCAATAATTTTGTACTACAACATCTTTTATACCACCATCCAAGTGGTGAATTTTTCCTCCACAGAAAAAGTTATCTTATCATTGTCACAATCAAAAACATTATAGACAAGACTTAATTCTTGCTTTACTTTTGCTTTACTAACTTTTTATGAGGCATGTCAAAATATTTTCAGCGCACCACATATACACGACAAATGACATATTCGTGTAACCACATAGTAGTGTTCATGATCTTTCTTTCTCTCAAACCTCCCGTAGAGGTGAGTTGTAGTATTTATTCAACCATGCATAAATATATTCTTGTGCATAATTTGTATCACATATATATTTTACATTCACTTCAGGAATGAGTCTGCATTTACAATGCTTATCACAAGTCGCATTCTTTCAAAATAATGGACTATAATCGTCAGAGCGTGCCTCATATTTACAGACCATATTGATACACAATTCCTTCACCTTTGAAGGATTATTTTGAGAACCCTTATTGTTCTCCTTTTCACAATTACCATAATAATGACTATTATTATTTTGATCTTTGGCACGCCCACATTCATTGGTCAACCACTTTTCTTCATTTAGACTTATTATGCACTGGTATCACATTCACTTCAAGAATGGAGCAAATCAAGTGGGACAAACTTCATGTTTTTTTATGAAAAATACATTATTTCTCTTTATTCATCATTATATCATCAATATGGTGCACTGGGACTCAAACCCAATGTCTTACACATAAAAGCATGTGTTAGGACTCAAACCCAACTCTTATAATGGTGCATCAAGACAAGAAACGATGTCTTACCCGCATGGTACAGTGGGCTTGAACACATCTTTCTTACCCTTGCATCATCGTATTTAATCATCATAAGACTTCAAAGTATTATCACTTCCAATGGATATAAGCGTAAACTCATCTAGTGATAAATAAAACTATAGTATCTGCATAGATAAAGGGGAGAACTAATTATAGCTTTTAATATTGTAGACACAAAAAACATAAACAAATTATGCGTTATATCTATTAATATTAACTCTAAGGAAAAATATTATATGGCTTATGCTGACAATGACGATATGGTAAGTTGTACTGTTCGTTTCCGACATAGGA